AAAAAAAAAAAAAAAAAAAAAAAAAAAAGATAGGGATCAATATTGTCCATGAAAAAGAGAGGAGAGAAAATGGAGCAGAGACAACGCTTTGAGCAAAAATGACTAAAACTGTTCTGGAACTGGAGGATGGGTGCCTAAGACAAACATTGATTCTCTTAATAGTTCGGCCATGCTCTGGTGAAAATCTATCCAGCTCCATGTTTGGTACAACCCAGAGCTTTAACGATTCTAGAGGGAGTTTGCAGAGTCAGTCTGCTCCTGCCCAAAGGTCAGAATATTCTATGATACCAAGCAAAATGTAGCAAAGGACACATGGAAACAAGATCAGGGAGTGAAAATTCAACTCTTGCCTGTCTTTGCCTCTGTAGTGCACTCTTAGGGCCTATTTGGGCAGCCCTGAGTTGCTCACAGCTGCATCCCTTTGTTTCTTCTTCCCTTCCATGGGTATTGTGAACCAGGCTCCAGAGACAGTAGAACAGCATTCCCCAGGGTCCTTCCATGGCCAGTGAGGCATGCCTAGGTGAAGCAAGGAAAACATTTCTCACCCAGTGATGAGAATGGCCCCTTCTCCCCTTCTTTCCTCTGACTTCCATCTCCCTGTTATGTTTCTGGGATCTGGTATGGGCTCTTAAGACTGCTTGGTGGAAACTCACTGGCCACGTGACATATGGACTGGTCCTTGTGGGGTATCTGGAGCTGAAATGCCCATGTGCGGTAACCAAAGGAGTCCTGAGATGCCAGCATCATCCTAGGGTCCTCCAGCGCTATCCTCAGGATGAACCAAAGAGCATTAATGTTCTTCATTGCCCAGTCCATTAACATCACCTAGGACCCAGCTGGCAGGGATCCAGGAGCTGAGCTCCAGAGGGAGGCATTGCCCAACCCTAGGTCCTGTAGCCCTCTAGCTCCCGACCCTTAGCTCTCTTGGAGAGATGAATGATCTGGCTGGCACGTGGGTAGTTTATTTATGACTCATGCTCCCTTCTTAGTGGCCAGGTGCCCTGGTCCTTTTCTTCCTCATCGTGACTCGTCTTGGGATCAGGTTCTTGTGGTTGCTCTGTTTCAGAGGAAGACCATTCATCATCTTGCCTCTGGGAATCCCGGCACACCTCTCAGACATGCTCAAACAGAGAGGCTGCCAAACCTGCAGCTGGTCACACAGCAGGTGTGTGCTGAGGCCAGGGTACACACAGCCTCACGCCCCCAGTGGGTGGGAATGCGGGCCCAGCCCTTGTGTAACCAGTGTCGAGGCCTGGGTGCTGTGAGCAGCTCTCTGGTGGAGTCTCAGGGAGGCCCTGGCTCCACCCTGGCCCTCAGACATGTGCCAGATTCCCCCAGCCCCAGCAGTGGATTCCTCCAGGCCACCGTGCTGTGGTGTCCCATGAGTCCTTGTTTCATGGCAAAGCAGAAAAGGGTGGCCCATGATAATCGAGCCCCCCATCTAGCCCCCAAACCTAGCCCTTGCAATGACTTGGACATGCCATTCCAATATGGAAATTCTCAAAGATGTTCCAAACTACACGAGGCTGATTTAATTTAAATAACTAAAACCTAAATAGATGAAGTTGAGGAAGGCTGAGTGGAGGCGGGTGGGGGAAGGTGTCATGGAACGAAGCCAGTTGGGAGAGTGTTAGGGAAACACGAACATTTCACTCCTGTGAGTGGATTTGGAGATGACAAGGGCTAAACCACTCCACTGGGTGCCAACCCTAAGAGCCTACGGGCTGGTCCTGTCCTGTCCCAGCCGAGTCTTATCTCTGGTCTTAGTGGGACAGAGCCTCTGCTGTGCCATGGCTCTGGAACTCAGGAGACCAGGCTGGGTCACCTCTCAGGGTGCCAGGTTCCTTGGTGACAGCTGAGCTTTTGGTGAGACTCGCGCAGCTCTGGAAGGTAGAGGACTTGGAGTGGGTTGTTCTCTTTTCTAGCGTGGCTTATGTACCTAGGCAGCCCTGTCCCACATAATTACATAAATTTCGCGTCCTTCAAGATGCTCATCTTGCCTCTGACACATTTTAGGCTCAGAGCCACCGTCCCCACCTCCCCTCAGCTCAGGGGCCGGGCCATGACTCACATGCCTCCACCTCTTCCAAATGAGACTGCTCCTTGAGCAGAGGGGACTGGGCCTTGGTGGGCTTGGGAATGGTTCCTGGGGAGACACTTCACCCCTTGTGGGCATGGACTCTATTCTAAGCCTCAGAATCAGCCCCATGTTCCTCTGTACATGGCACACTCTGCCCCCATGGCAGCAGCCACACAACGCCGCTCTCTCTGGGCCACCCTGGGACTTGCCCACAGCTGAGCCTGTCCTCCCTGCTGCCCCGTGCCAAGTCCAGCTGACTTGGGTGTGGAGAGCTGGTGATATAAGGCCTCCTGTTCCCACTCTGTACCTGCTATCCTCCTGGGCTTGCTAAGTGGAATCCAGCAGCTTCCTGTGCTTGAGCGGTGAGGTGCAGCCTGAGAGCTGCCTTCCTGCCTTGCTTGAGAAGTTTGCTCACTAACTAGAATGACTCTCACAGTGATGTTCCTGGCAGCAAAGGGAAAAGGTGCCAGATAAATTTTCAGAGCTCCTTCTGGTTGACAGCCCCAGATCTGGGGAAGCTTGTGTGAGGCCTCTTGCCTGCCTGCCTCTGTGCTCTTCTCCCACCATCTCAGGACCCCAGGTAACTCCCCAGGTATCTGAGGCCTGGCCTAGTAAGCCCTCCCGTGAGACTGGAGCCAGCCTCCCTCATCTACTTGGCCTGGCCTAGTAAGCCCTCCCGTGAGACTGGAGCCAGCCTCCCTCATCTACTGGCTAGAGGTCGGTTGGACAAATGGGAACAGGCCATTTGGACAACCATTGAGATGACCCAGGAATGGAGGGGAACAAGAGCAGGAGAGGTCCCCAGCCAGCATGTACCTCCCGCTTCCCTCCCACCAGTAAAGGGAAGAAGCCACGGCTAACCCCTCTGCTGAGGTACAGCTTCCTGGGCGGAAGGAGTTCATGGGGAGCCTCTGAGGCCAAGAGCTCCATCAGGATTTGGCGAGGCTGCCACCCCAGTGAGAATGCTTATCCTCACTCACCACTGCCATCACCTGGATTCTTCACTTTTATGAAGAAACTTCTATCACAGCACCACGCAGGGCAATGGTGCCTTGTCTTCTAAGAGCAGTAGAGGATTTGACCTCTGTGTCCAGTCTTCAAGGTCTTTGGTGAGAGGGAATGCTCCCAGGGATTGCTCAGGGAGCCCTTTCTAAGCAAATGAAAGGCATTCTTTGAGGGTAAAAGAAAAATGTAAGCGAGGTTAACATGACTATAACCCCTTGGGTATCGGGGTACAAGAATCTGGGCCTAAATTATTCAAGTGACTATGTCCTTCCATTGGGGCTTTTCCAAGGACCAAGATGTGCCCAACCCCTCTCGCTCTGCCTGCTGCCCCAACACATGGGAATGGTGAGCTTGGGCCAAGTGTCTCACAGGCTTTGCCTGTTTACCTTTCACAACTTGGAGGTGTGGTACTAGTTTTGCATACATTTTGCATAAACGGAAACTGAAGCTTAGAGAAATTAAGAGACTTGGTGAGGGCCACCCAGTCAGCAAGAGGCAAAGGCAAAATTCAGCTCAGTGCCAGGGCTTCATGGTCCTCAGGCATCCCCAGGACAGGATTTGAGGAATCGGAGACTTGTATTTGTCACCTGGGAACAAATTGCTTTTTTCCAGAGCTCAGTTCAGAATCAACATCAAGTGAGCTTTGAGTCAGGGAGTTTGGCTTGATTGACTGCTCCTTAGAGGACAGAAGGCCTCCTGCATGCTAGAACACTGCAGGAGAACCACAGCTTCACACTTACCGTCCTGCCCCCAGGCAAGTGGCGCTGATTTAGCCTGTATTTAAAGCATTAGAGACCAGAGTGCCTTCAAATTGTTCTGGTATAAATTCTTTGTCCTGTGGACTACTGAGTGGAGGCCAATTAAACCTCTGCCAGGTAGGGCTTATTCCCTATAAATCAGTGGGAATGTGGTCACACAAATTTTAAA